CACATGCAAACAAGATATTAGGTATTTAGGTGTTGAGTTTAGAGAAGATACATGGCATAATTAATCATGCTTTAGTTTAATGAATAATCACATGATACCAATGTAGAGATCCTTGTAATTAATTAAACTTAAGCAAATACCAAAGAGAAATTTCATCACTTTGTCATGCCGAGTACATGTATTCTTCTCCATGCATATCCTCGTTTAAGAGAAATATGACAATTAAAAGCACATATTTAGGGCATGTTCTCATATGATTATTTTCAGTTCAGCTCTAATAAGTTCAGTTCAGTTCAACTCCTAATTTCCTTCTCTTATAAAATATTCATTTTAGTTCAGTTAAGTTCAACTCCTAATTTCCTTCTCTTATAAAATATTCATTTTAGTTCAGTTAAGTTCAGCTCATTTCAGTCAATGAGCTAAGAACAAGCCCTTACTCCCTCAACTATTGATTTATCCTGCTATTTTTCTGCATTATTACTTTATTAGTATTATTATTTATATTTGATCAAAAACACATCAAAAAATATGAATATAAATGAATTGTCATTTTCAATTTCTTCAGATTTGGCCGTCCACATTTCTTTTACATGTAAAACAAAGACATATAATAGGATCCAACAAAGTATATGAAGAAGTAATTTTATACTGAAAAATAAATAGTGGCAATTCTTAATTAAAAAATTGCATTGATAGTATTGCTTGACATTTAGTGTGAAAAGACAAGGGAGATGTTATTCCTCTTGGTTTTCCTCGTATAGTGTTTTTGCAGCTTGTCCTATTGTGATTGTTCGCTCTGAAAAAAGAAGATTCCAAACTTTTCTTTATATTTTTTGATGCCCAAAATTCTCTTTGATCAACTTTGTTCTCCATTTTATGGCGTGTTTGGAGCTCCTTATATACTTCGTATATTTTGAGTACTATATAAGTATGATTGTATGAAGGAAAACTTTGTGTTGTAGATCATGAGATTATTCAGGCGTTAACAAGTAACAACCATCAAAGAAAACTTTATACACTTAATAAAACTTTATTGTACAAAAATTTACCACTCATGTTCGGATTGGGGTAATATATTAAGGGAGTAATAAAAGTCAAATTTGAAAAATACGAGTAGTTAAAGGTGTTATTGTAGGAGACAAGGTGTTTACAGATAAAATAAGATAGTTGTGCCATGAGGAAAAAAGGATAGAGATGGAACCCTCATAACGAGGATAATAATTACCCGGACCCTTCCCTAATATAACTATTAACCCCAAAATGAGGGTATTAGGGTTTGTTTTGATTTACTGAATTGAGCTAAACTAAACTGACCTGAATTGGACTGAACTGATTAGAGTTGGATATAGTTGAAATAAATTGTTTATGAGAGAATGAAATTAGGAACTGAACTAAACTGTACTTATTAGAGCTGAACTGAACGAAACTAAATTGAATTGAAATTAAACGGAAGAGAACAAACCCTTAGCTCCTCTTTTTTCACCTCATACCACACCATCACTACATAATTCTCTTTACAATCACACCATTACTATTTCCTCTTGCCTTATATTCACTTTCATTTTTGCTTAGTTATTTTACTCTTATTACCCCGATAATATATACATTTTTCTCAATCCAAACATGTCCTTAAATTAGTTGACTTCCTTAAAATGAGTATAATCATACTCTCATAGTAAAGGTGTTTCCAACTCTATAATAACTTCATGTAAGTTCTTGCTGTCTAATTTACTATATGGTAAGAAAAGTTCAAAATAATTTATTTATTTTTTTTTCCTAAGACAATTTCTTACATAAACAAGTTTACTTCAAAAAAAAAAAAAAAAAAAAAAAAAAAAAAAAAAAAAAACTCTTTAAAAGTAAAATAAGTTTGTGCATCATATATTCATATTTAAAAAAAAAAATGAGTTGAACTAGGGCCTAATCGACTATAAGAATATTTTTTTAATTTTAGGGTGAGTTTATCCCCAAACTCTAGACTCTAGACTCTAAACTCGGCAGAAATACATAATTAGCACAAATTTTCTCCTATTCTCCTGTGCACCAAAAAATCTCCTATTCTCCTAATGGCTAGTGCACAATGCCAGTATATATGTACGTAGTTATGTATTAGTTGAGATCTAGCATCATTGTTTTCCTTGAGAAAAATTCAAAACCAACAAAAGTCCGAGATCATGACAACATAGCATTACTCATCAAAAAGAGAAAATATTAACTTTGTTTATCTCTTTAATTAATTGTTGAATGTTTCTGTAATTTGACTTCTTCTATTGTAACTCTTTGTAATTAGATTATTGATCTTTTTTTATCAAGAAAAAATGGTAAATATGATCCTATAAATACCCATCTCATTTATGACGAAAAATCACAACTCACAAAAATCGAAAAAACACAAATCAAAATAAAGTGTATTTTTTCGCGATATCTAGCTTAATTAACTAACAAAGGCTGAAGAAATGGCTAAGTCTACTTACTTCGTTAGCCTCCTTGCACTTTCTCTCATTTTCAATGCTTGTAGTGAGCACTGGTGAGTTAATCCACCCCCTTAATCACTGTTAGTATTGTAGCATTAGCTTTATTATCTTAATTAATTTAGTTTAATTTGTGATTAGTGCATGTCATAATGTTTATAAGTTTATAACCTTGCTTATCAATAATGGATACCGTGAATAATCAAGAAATGAAGTGTATCCTAGTAATGTATAATAGCATAATACAAATATGATATGATATATATACACACATGAAATAACATAATATGCCATGGTCTGGTACAACCGCTATACAAGTTACACATATGGCATAACCTATAACACGACAATAAAACCAAATTATAAGCTTGTTTGTTGTTGTAGATATCTAGTGCAACCGTTGTTCAACTTATAAATATTATTTGTTGTCGTATTATTTTCTAGAAATCCAAATGGCGGAAGCAAAAAACCTGTGGATGGTTATACAAAGCTTGGTGGACGGATAACTGCTCCTACAAGTGCAAGAACGTCTGGGATGCCTACTATGGAAAGAAAGAGAGGTTACAATGGCAAATGGCTTGCTTCTGTTACTATGGACCTTGTTAAGATGCTGCTCATGCCCTATAATCGAAAAAAGGAGACAAATCGCGACTTAATCACCCTCTAATAATCTAATTATAATTACTGTGAAATAAATTGTATTATTATGAGAATAATACATATGTCAAAGTGTGGGCTGCTACGTACTTAGTACTATGCCACAAGTCTTCAAGACTTCAAGTCAATAAAAAATTTTGCTGCTACGTAACACATATTGTCTCATCTCAAAAGCATAGCCTTTGTAGCTCCACAAATAACCCATGAATCTTGCGGCCCATCCACCACAACCTTGTTAGGCAAGCCCAAAATTGCGGCCCATCTACCACAGTCTTGTTAGGCTTGCATCTGACATTGTTCATCTTAGTGATCTTACAAAGTATATGTATGATACTTATTAACAATATAACTAAAGCTGCAATTAATTATTCTTTCAAAAAAAAAAAACTGCAATTAATTAGTCACTTGATTTGTTAAAGCGAAATTAAAATGTAATCCATCATATAAAAAAAATGTTGTGTTGCAATTCCATACAAGGCTTGACTCACTTCTTTTAAAATCTTACCTTGATTTCTAAAGAATGGTGTCAATCGGGTTTTCGGTTAAGTTTTTGGGTTGGTTTATCGATTTTCGGTTTGTAACGGGTCGGTTTTTAACGGGTTGAAATTATTAATGGTTAGTTCAGGTCAGTCTTAAATCAATTTCGAGTCGATTCGTTTTTGGTTTATTTTTTATTACAGTTTCTTTTCAGGTCGGGTTATAATTGGTTCGGGTCATAATCGGTTTCGGGTTAAATTCGGTCCAGTTTAAAAACGGGGTTTGTCAATTTAAAGCGGTTTTGGGTCAACACATATCGAGTCCTAATCGGGGTCGGGTTGTAATCGATTAGGGTTGTTAATCAGTCGGTTTGAACAACCTGTTTTGCCAGTTTTAAACGGGTATCGTTAACGTATATCGTCTAGTATATCTCAATATTCTTTAATTAGTTATTCCAATAGATCATACGGAGTAGTAATTAGTTTGTTTAACTTTAATGTCCCTTTTTTTGTAATAATGATTTTAAGGATCAAATAATAATAACAAATCTAGAGCTTTTAATTTAGATTTTTAATTTTTTTTTAATACACTAATATAGTGTTCCATAAGCCCATTACTCGTTTAGAGTACAATAATATTTTATACATAAGAGTTTCAATGACATCAAAAATTTCAAACATTTTCAACATAAATACTTTGTAATTCAAAATAAACCCTTTTGTTTTACTATTGATAAAAATATACCACTCTAACGGTCATAACGGGTTACAGACTTACGGATTATAAACGGTTCACGGGTTGTAAACGGTTCGGTCATAACTTATTACGGGTTATTAACGGTTCAATCCGAACTACTATACTACGAGTCTACAATGGTAACACGGATAACCCGTTCAAAGAGTAGATCAAAGTTGATCTGACCCGATTCTAATTTTGGCAGGTTTTGGGCGGCTTTTTTTTCAGCCTAAGCTTGACTTTTTTTTTTTTTTTTTGGACGGGCTTGGGATTTCATATTTTTCAGCCGGATCTGGACTAGAATTTTTCGGCCGAATCTAGGCCTGACCTGGCCCAGATTGAGAAATGATAGAATTTGTTGTATACATCCGAGTATATCATACACCCAAAGTACCCAACTAAACTAAGTTTAGTTTTTGCTCTTCATTTGATGATAAATTGAAATATAATCATCAAAGTGAAAACAAATATCTATGGGTGTATGGTACACTCTGCCATTCTGGTGTATATAACAACCTGTCGAAAAATGGACTGATTTTTTAAGACTCGTCTGGACGCCCATTCATCCGGTCTAACCGTTCACCCGCCTAAGTTCCTAACCCTCCAACATGAATCCGCAACGTCCACTTCTCCACGGACCACGGCCCACATTTTCAAACCTTCCCTCCCAAACCAATAAATCCAAAAAAAAAAAATCAACATTTCAAAAATATATGCCATCTTTCTCATTTTCAATTTCTTTCCATAACTCAACGTTACAAAATCTCTTCCTATCCTCCAATTATTACAACAACATTAATTCATTCCTTCATTCAAATTCAATTCAACCACATTTTCGCTTCAATTCATGGAAGCCGCCGCCGAAACAGAGGCGGCTTTCAAGCCGGCTCATTTGGTGTCTTTCTCTCCAACACCCTCTTCAACACTCAACAATCGGCGTCTCTCAAGCCAATTCTCCAAGCCGAGTAGCCCAATTCGAGCCGGCTCAACAAAGAAGAAGACTTTGGCTTGGGTTTCTCTTCAAGGTCGGCTTGTTGGAGCCGATGAAGCTACCTCGGCTCAAGCCATTGGCGGCGGCTTAAGCCGAGAGGAAGCCGTTGGGTGGGAGCTCTTTAGCCCTATTCATCGTGTTCTTATTGTTGCTGTTGTTGCTGTTGCTGCTGCTAAATGTGAGAAGAATCGCCAGATTTTTCAACTCAGAAAATGTGTTCAACTCAGGGTTTGTAAAAATTCTCCCTTTTCTTTTTAATCACATTTGATTTTTTGAATTTGTAATGATTTTATGATTGTTTTTTATGTGGGGTTTTTAATTCTGAGTTCGGTTTTAAAAAAAAAAATTAAAAAATTTTGGTGGGTCTTAGGGATAATTATTGACTTCTGTAAAGATTATGTAAGGGTTTTGGAATTTGTAAATTTTAAATTAATTGAAAGTGAAAAGTGATTAATTGGATGATAAAGATGATGATGATGATATTGATGTTTAAAAGTTGGTAGCTTTAACAAGTACAATTGTTTGTAGACCCGCTTTGTTGGCTTCTTTTGTCATAGGAGAAACTATACATTGTGAGCCAATTTACCCAAATGAGATTGAAAGTGAAAAGTGATCTCTTTTAGCATGTTTGTGAGCCAATTTACGCGAATGAGATTGACTTATACTCTTAATACCCGAATTTTGAGTTTACAATTGATTTAGTGACTGTGAGTCTGTGAATTACATGATCAAGCATGGTGTTATGTGATACCTGAGTTTTTGGTTTACAATTGATTCAGTGACTGTGAGTCTGTGAATTACATGATCAAGCATGGTGTTATGTGATACCCGAGTTTTTGGTTTACTATTATGACATGCCAAATTCTTTAGCTGCATTCTTAAATTTTGAATCAGTAAATGTGACTGTGATTGAAGTAATAGGGGAATAGGGAGTGCATTCTTTCGATTTTTGAGTGTTACTGAAAATTTCATGTGGAGTTTACTGATCAGTGTGTTTTTAATTCTCTTGCAGGATGATATATTGATGAGCATGCAGCAAAAGCTTGATGATTTGTGTGAGCAAATGAATTCTATGAAAGATCAGCCTCAAGCAATAGTTGATTCTTTCAGCATCCAAGATAATGGAATTTTCGTCTAGAAGATCATCTTTGGCCAGCAAATCTGACTCTATGTGCACAGACTGCTGGTTCTGTGATCAACGCCGAGCTGAGTTGAATGATGTTTCTGTGAGACTCTATTATTTGCCCGTTTTGTTACAAAGTACTTCCTAGTGGTAATTCACTTCATGCACTATATACACACACAAACAAAGAAAATGATAGGTTAAGGAAACAGAAATTTGTGTTCTTTAGACATGTTAGAAGCTGAATTTGACATGCTTGTAATGTACCAGGGAAATTCACTTGTGAAAGCTGCTAGTTGTGACGAGATGTTTAAAAATAGACTCTCTATTTCTAATGAAGCAGAACAGGAGGAACGTCGTATGTCAGATTTGTCTGATTGGGCTTCAAGTGTCACTTCAGTGGCAGATTTACAAGTAATGAATTAACCGTAGTTTCTATATTTTTGCTATATATATATGCATCTGTTTTGAGCAAAGGATAACTTGTTTATTTATTTTTGCCTCGAGCAAAACGTACACTGAATGTCGATGTTGGGTGTGGTTTTCAGCTGAATAACTTAGCAATAGAGCAAGATACTTATAATCTTAAGAGGGAATGTGAAGAAAAGGATGCTGCTATAAAGGAGCTTTCTTCTTTATTCGTTCAAAAGATGTTGTCACTTCTAAAGTAAGATATGCCTTACTATTTGTTCTGTTTTTCTTTAATTTATGAAACGAGGATGGTTCAGTAAAGACACTTTCCTTTTCTTGACAGAGAATTGAAGAACTTGAAGAGGTTATTCGTCGAAAATGCACAATTATTACTAAGTTGAAAAAGGACTTGATTGTTCTGGAACAGAAGGTAAGACCTCTTTGCTGTAACAACTTCAATCGTTTTCAACTCTTTTTTCTCTAATAAGTTGCCAAATTCTGCCTGCAATAAGTTTTTATTTCCTACTTCCTTAATCAAGCAATATTAAGTCTACAACTCAAATGGAAGGAGTATTAACATTCAACAATACTAAAGCGTTACATTGTTACAGGTGGTGAACTTAACAAGAGCCAAAAGGCGGTCATTCTCTGGGCCGAGCTTGGATAAGAAACAGCTACCTACAATGTCAGATAATCTGCTTTATGATATGGATAGTCCTTTATCTTCTGATTCAGACTGCACCTCTGAGAAGAAGCAGAATACCTCTTGTACTGTTGAAACTCGAGTAGTAGTAAAGGCCTCCACAAACACCCCTCTTCAAAACAGCTCTTCTTCAAGTGAGAAACTGTCAAAGATAAACCAGAAACTGTCACTTGCAAAAGCCCCATCGCCTTCTACAATGCTTTCACTTCAGGTCCCGAAATCCAGACCAGTGAGTCCCCTTAAGGAGAAATCGTTGAATCAAACTTATCATTCAGTAGCTTCTCCAATGCCAAACAAGGTGTCTGCTGGTGTAGGTTCGAAAACTAACAGAAGACGAACTCATAGTGGATCCAAAGATGCAGTAGCCTCACAGAAGCGATGGATGTAGTAAGTATCTTTTCTTTTGTAAAGCTCCATATATTTTTTAGCATCATGCCTGTTTTGAGAGGTGATTCGGTCTCCCCCTTGGGAGGTTAAGGGTTCGATTCTCATTGTCGGGTTAACGTTGAGGCCTTAAGATATATAACCCTATAAGCGAGCTTTGCTTCAAGTAACATTACCGACTACTAGGTGGTACTTGTTTGAATTTTTTTTGATACACTATAAGAAATTTAACTCATTTTAACCAATTATGTAGGTATGATGTCCAATATTAGTATCAAATTCTGATGATGAAGAATCGACGGTACCTGTGCAAGGTGATAGCACATATATATGTAACTTGGAATGATAATTCTATGCTATAACACAGAAGAATGTGTTCTTATAACTTGACAAGTTATTGTAGAATTATCAATTATGTACTTAAAAGAGTAACTAAGGTCATATTATTATTAAGAAATATATATATTCTTGTTCTTTGGCGTACTTATTAGCATGTACGAAGTATATTACTACATACTGTTCATCTTCATCACCCAACCGGGATAAATAGAATAATAATCTTAAAAAAAAAAAAAAAGTTACAAACAAATGTTTAGTGTTTTACAATATTCAATACATAAATTGGAATCTTAAGTGAAACTTAGAATTAAAAAAAACATAATACGAGAATCAATACACTATACACCTATTTTTATACCGAGTAATACTTTATCATTTTACGTAATTCGTATGCCATGTATGAACATTTGTGAAATTTCCTTGCAACTATGGTACGCTTACAATGAAGTCTCGTCACCAAGTATAATTATATACAAGTCTAAGTGTGTACCAACATGACATTTCTTGACCCTCGAATAGTCATGTACTCGTGTAGGTTTAAAGAGGTGGCTAATGTATTTGACCTCCAAGCTCTAAGGAATCATCAACAAATATTTTAGTCAACTAACTTCGTTATATTAATGGAAGATGACTTGACAAGAAAAGTCCAATAACTATAAAAGTTTATATAGAAATTTTCAACACATTTCCTTTTTTATGTTCTTGAATTTTATATGGAGTACTTGTAAGTTGCATTGTACTTGTATTTAATTTGTCTTTGTCTTGTCACTCCCTTTATTTATCAATTTTAAAATATATTCTACTCCAGATTTTTTTTTTTTAGTTGTAACTTTGGGATATTATTTGAGAGATAAAATATTCCAAAGTTACAACTTAAAAAATCAGAGATAATATATATATAATATTTTTTGTCTTTTCTCACACTCAACAATCGTTTGCTCTTTCTTGTAGGTGAAGTTCTTTTAACAATTTCTGCAATATTTTGAAAACGGATCTAAGACCATGTTCTTTTCAATAAAATAAGTTTGAGTCAAATAAGCTTAATTAGATATACACATCTTGTGTATTTTAAATTAGTAGTTGAATTATCTTATTCCTACCATATGAGTTAGAATAGTCATTTTCCAAAAATATAGACTTGTAGACTTTGTAGTTTCTAGAAAATATTTGCTAATTTTGATGTCACCTTCAAAGCTAATTTAGCATAGATGCGTTACATGCGTATATTCTAAATAAGATTACAATAAAACTTATTGATTTGAAATTGCGGATATGATGTGAACTTAAAGGATTCACGGCATTCACCGATAAGAAAGGTGAAATATTAGGTTAATGGCAATTTCAAAAGGCATAGAGAGATCCTAAAACACTAAAAATAGTTCATATACATAGGGAAAAAAAATGAATTTGTATGAGTAATTTACAATGAATACTCTATTATAAAATGAAATCTAGTCAACAATCTAAAAATCTACTACTACAACTTTTTATTATTCCGTATTAAGGATGATTAAGGTAAACACCATGCATATAATTGGCTCATACAAGTGATCATACAACCTAATAACCTATCTATCCATTTAAATTTACTTTGTACTCTCTCCGTCCCCGATTGATAGTCACTTTTGAAGAAAAATCACGGGAATTAGGAAGAATTAAATAAAGTACATTGAAAAAGCAAATTTACATTAGTTATGCAAAAAAGTAGATAGAGAAGGTAAAAAAGTACATGGGAAAGTAAAATTAACATTGAAAAGTTAAATTTGCACAAATATTTTTGCAAATGTTAAAGAATTTTGGTAAAAAATAATATTAATGGTATTTGAAAAAAGCAAATATGACTAACATTTTGAGTTACCAAAAATAGTAAAAGTAACTATCAATCGGGGACGGAGGGAATACTTCATGTGACTTAATTTTGTAATTAATGTTGCATTAAAACCTTGAATCTACAACAAATTTTCTTAAAAAAAAAACAAAAGGTGAAAAATATGATGTTATTAATTGATGTCACCTAAACTTCAACTCCTTTCTTGATGACAATAACCAAACTTTGAAAAGTCAATCCCGCGCAACTCCTTCTTACAAAACCCCTCCATTCTTTTACTCATTCACTCTTATCTCTCCTTTGATCCTCTCCTCAAAACTCAAACCCAAAAAAAAAAAATGTTGTTTGATCGAACAAGCTCATCAATATCATCATCAACTTCGACATCACGTAGTTGGTCGGGCTCGAACTCGAAAGTACTAGCAATCGAATGCATAAGAGGTACCTCAAGAGCCGACGAATGGAGTGGAGGACTACTCCAAACCGGCGATATCGTTGAAGAGATCCAAGTTGGTGAATTGATCCTACGATCACCCTTTAAGGATGGTAACTCTGGTGTTCAGAAACATTTGCATAAGGGCTTTAAGAGCAAGGAAACTGCGGTTCGAGTTCGAGTTCGACGCGGTGAGTTTGACTCTGCTGTGTTGGTTGGTTGTATTGTTCCTGAAGGAAGGAAGAAGAAGCAACAGTATGTTTTGAGAGCTATTGATGATCCTAATTATGCTGTTGCTTTTATTGATCGTTCTGAGACTGAGTGCTTACAATTACAAGGTAATGTATATAGGGATTTTTGTTTTTGTTGCGTTGACTTCTTTTTATCTAGATAATTTTACTCTCTCCGTCTCTTTAAGATTGTCTCGTTTTCGAAAAGTTATTGCAAAGGACGATCTTGGAAAACATGTTTAGGAAAGGTTGATTTTGATTTGTAGTTAATTGGTTTTTTAAGTCTAGCTGGGTGCTATGATTAAATAATTGAATTCATGTTCAAAGTTTTTGTCAGTCATAGATTTTAGGCTTAATTGTGAATTATTGATCATATTTTAATTATTAATTATTCTCAACTTGTTTGATTATATATGAATTTGATGAGTAAGAGTGACAATATTCATAACTGATAACAATTAGGCAATTAGCAGAACAATATAAAACAGGAATTATATATTTATATGAAATTAATTATGTGAGTTTTTAGGATGTACAGAGTATGTATTTGGAACATAAGAGTTTGCATTTCTCCTTTCCAAATTAATTGCAACGTTTGACTTTGCATGACTTGCAAGTCTTACTATATGTAATCTTAGTTAAATATCCCCGAAAATTTTCATCAAGATCACATTTTTTGAAGATGTTCCTCTTACTGTGTTCTATCACAATAGAGGTCAAAAAGTTCAAAATTAGACCGACTTTGACAAGTCAAATGTTGCATTCAATTTGAGTGTCTTCTTATCAAGTCCACTTGATAATTATTGGTAACGTTAATGTTGATATAGTAGGTAGTTAGTTATGTACGATTGTACTTCCTATGAAATTGAAAAGGACCTTTATCGAGTACACCAAATTTAGATGTTTGGCCTAATTTGAGTATGCGAACAAGATTCAATTCATCTGTACGTATGATCTGATACACGTTTCTTCCTCCTCGGTATTTTGTTATCTTGATCTCTAATCGCAGCTTCTAGGGACTCCAGGTTACATCACACGTTAAACAGCACTCAAATCGAGGATGGTTATGTAGCCTATCCATGGGAACGGAAGATGCAGACAACGCTACGAGTCCCAAATTCAAGCAGTTTTTTCTCCATCCTGTTCTTGCCAAAGGCTTCAGAACAGGACGTGGGCGTTATAATGATGTGGAGGATACTCTTGCTAGAGCTAATGCATGGTTTAACGCGGCTCAGGCATCAGGGATCCCAATAACCTTAACAAACATTCAGACTGAATCATTACTTACGAAGGTACATTTTTACTCGAATATGCAGTTCAGTATGTTATATTATAGCCAACTGCTCGGTTATGTTATGTGGTTTAGCTAGTCTAATGTTATTTTTACATTGTCTGAGTAAAACAAGCTGACATATTGGAATTGTTTTATTCTGTTTGATTCTGTGAGTTTTTAGTCATTTTAAGGCATTCGCGTTCTCATACTTGAGTACTACGTACAATTAGTTGGTAAAATATGGCATGATGCAATGCTGTTCAAATTGAAGATTTGAAATGTTTTTCTGGTGTTTTGAGTGATCCAAATTTATTGTTTTAAGATCTTGGTACTTATTCCTATACTACTTGTTGGTTTTCGATACTAATGAATGCGACTAATCAGTAAGGTAATGACTAATCCATCTGTTTCTCGTTTGCAACAGATTTCTGGTGAAACAGCTTCTTCCACAGTGAGCACTTCATCATTGTCAGATTTGCCAAATCTTGCCAATGCAAGCCTGTATGGATTTGAGGACTACCACGGAGTCGACATTGGAGTAGTCAGAGCAATTCGTCTCTGGTACTCTCCCATCCAAGAGTATCCAATCGAGATTGACATAGAAGAGGGTGATGTAAAGCTCGGTTTTGCTGTAAGTCGCACTGAAGAGGTTAGAAACACATAAACATGCTATTGACTCGTTTCTGTCTAAAGTTTTGGTAGTGTGTTGCTAAATGCTAACATATTTGGGACAATGTTTGTAGGGATTTATATACATATCATCAATTCTAGAAGGTGATGGAAATGTCCCTTCTGCAAGATCAGGCCTGAGTGAGTTGTATAAAGAAGCATCAAGAGACTCTAAGCTTCTAGTGATATCGCGAGTAAACAACCAAAAAGTCCTTCCTTGGATTGTTTCTCCATCAAGTGCTATCCAATGCTTTGATACCGTTTCCCTTAGCCAGAAGCTATCCTTACACCGCCATGCTCGAGCACCCTTGCTTTTCCATGTTTTGATGCAGGACTCACAGTTTGCTTCTAATTCTGCACGATCACAAAGTGGTCCTGCTCCATTAGCTATGCCAGTTTGGCCTAACAGCCTTCAGAGTCCTCGATATTCTGATGGTGATCATAACCAACCTCCTTCACATCCTCGGGTTCCCCTGGTGCTGGACTTAATGGTGGTGGAACTGAGATAGGATTGGCTAGAGATACAGCAGGGG